CTCTTGAATTTGTCAACATGAATGAGAATCCAAATGAGGTGAGGAATACCAAAAGTTTTACTAATACATTGAAAAGAAATGGAAGCAAACAAAGTAAAAAATTCTAGAGTGAAACTGCAATGCCACTTTCCTTTTTTGTGTCTATTTCTTCCTATTCTTAAATTCAACATACTGTTTTCCTCTGATTCATACTTTGAAACATTTAAAGGTTAGAGAAGATCTTCTGTGCATAAGGATCACCGATTATTTTACAGACATACCCTAATTAATTAACCATTTGCATCACTGAACTGTATGAATAGTTTTCATTGCTTCAAGAACTGGGAAAAGCAGATGGGATGGTAACTGGAGTGATGAGAGCAGTCAGCGGCCCAGGGACTGGATGCCATGGCAGATGAGATACTCCAGCTCTCCAGTAAACAAAGTCCTGGGGAACCTGGAGTCAGCGCTGCCCCTGCTTTGAGCAGGTGGCTGGACCTGAGACCTCATGAAACCCTGCCCTCCTGAATGAGACTATGGTTTAAAATGTCCAGTTCTAAAAAGCATCATCATATTGAGCCAGCAGTTTAGTTTTATTTGAAAGTGAAAGCAAAAATGCGTTCCAGATACAAAGTTCACCGGTGTTTTCTTGATTTTATGAGGGCTCTTGCTAAAATCTGTTTGAACAATCCGATGAATATTTCTGACGAGGACAAAGCTCATGGCTATCCACCTGCTAAAAAAAAAAACTAGCTTGCAAAGCTGGATATAGAGGAAAGGGTACCAAATAAACCATGTAGCTTTGGAGGAGTGGTGCAGTGTTTTGAAAGCTGCAAGGACAGAAAAAAAATATGGTGGGGAACTATTCTCTCTACAACGTAGAAACATTATAAAGCAAAGCTCAGCTGCCAAAAAATGGGCAACATAAGTAAAGCATTTATATTAACAGCATACAGTGTACTAAAGTCAACCTCTCGGTTTTACGATGGAGAACTTCAGAAAAACCTTAGAGCCCTGTAAAAAGTGAACCAGAGAAAGTGCAGACTTATAAGTTCAGTAAAGCAAGAAAATAACAATAAACAGAGCCTGTGAGCAAAAGATTGCCATCTCTTATATGTCAGTTCCTCAAGAAACTTCTAAGATTTGTGAAGATGGCAATTCCCATCTTCCATCTCAAATTCCCCAAATGCAGAAGATCAACGGGGGGGGAGAGGGGGGGCGATGACACATCGTCACAGTCTTGACTATTTTCCACTATAACTATGTTCAGACTACCTTATGCATAAATTATAAAGGTATCAACATTTTTCATTATAGAAGCTATAGAGCTTATTAGAACATCAACATTGCCAGACAAATACAGAGTAAGGCATAAATCAACCGGGAACTTTGCTTTAAAACACATCAGTAAAAACTAAGTGGGAGCAGCAATGTATGAAAGCTACCAAGATTTTGCGACGTTTAAATGCGGGGGGGGCGGGGAAGGAACCGTTCCTCGCAGGTATGCCACGAAGGGCCGTGGGTGAGGCGGGGGTCCCGCAGCTCTGGCCCCGTGCTCTGGGGCGGGGCAGCGGCAGCTCTGCCCGGGGTCAGGCGAGGCAGCGGAACCTCCGCCGGAGCGATTACGCAGCAAAAAAAATCATCACGGCCACCGTGACCGGAACCGCTCCGAGCCCGCTGGGAACATCGCGCCAGCGAAAATACCCGGAGCGACCGCTTTTACAGAACATCCGACTGCCACTCGCCCGTGTCTCCCAGATGGTTTCCTTGACTCTCCCTCCACTCGCTCCAGGGGCGGGCGCCACAGCCTCGCCCTCCAGAGAGCGGGGTCCCCCTCTGAAGCGCTCCGTGGGTCCCCGCTGGCGGGGCCGGGCGGTGTCTGTGCCGCCCGGGCGGTGCCTCCGCCGCTCCGCCCCCCGCGCCGGCAGGAAGCCGGAAGCGGCCGGGGCGCTGGGCAGGCCGGCGGGAAGCGGCTGGTGCGTAGGGCCGGCGGGCAGGGCAGGGCAGGGCAGGGCAGGGCGGGTCGGGTCAGGTCAGGTGGGATGGCGGTGTCCGTGTCCGTGGAGCGCCGAGCAGAGGTGGGCTGAGCCAGCCGCTTGCTCTCGCCGCCGCCGCGGTGTTACGGAGGGGACGCGGCCGCCGCCGAGCGCGGTGGTTTCGGTTTCCCGGGGCGGCGGCGGGGCCTCGCCGGGGGCTGGCGGCTCCCGGAACGGGTCACGGGCGGCAGCGGCGGGCCCGGCCCTGCAGCCCGGGAGGGACGAGGCGCGGCCGGCCTGTCGGCGTGCCCAGGGCTCGGCCCTTGCCCCGGGGTCGGTGGTTCTCATCCCCGTGGATGTGCTTCGGGAAGTGGCGTCGTCTTTGTGGCTGTAGGAGTTGTTGAAGTTTTACCCTGGGAAGGACTTCCAGCCCTGGGGGTGAGCCCCAGTGCCGTGCCCGTCGTACCCCACGGCCCTGGGAGAGGGGCTGGTGGGTCAGTCGGGCCGAGCTCGTGGCCCTCCGTGGCTTTCCAGGAGCCGCAGTCCCAGACAGGCCGAGTGCTCTTCCCCCGTTACGGACGGGAAATGGCCAAAAGCAGGGATGAGCACCACTGGAGCCAGGCTTGCCGTTGGTTTTATGTGCCTTTGGAAGAATGCGCTGCTTCGTACGGATTCAAGCAGCACGTTGTGTGGCCGAAGGCAGGGTATTTCCATGATTTAGATACCAGCTGTTGCACTGGAAACTCCCCTGAGGAGGTTATAGCTGAAGAAAGCAGGAGCTTCAGGGGAAGAAGATTCTTTTCTAGGCCTTAAGAGAGGGCATGCAGGGAAGTATAAAATCTTCATAGTTACCAGACCGTAAATGCTAACATAACATTTATTTGGAACCTCAGCACCTTGTCTCTTGGCTTTGGTGACATATAAGGTCTTGTCTGTAAACAGAAAGAGCCTTCACCTTAACTTCATCATCTGTCTCTGCTTGCTGGTGAAACTTGTATGTTGCAGCTGTTAACAGGGGAACTGTACCTGCTTTGTATGCTTATCCTGGGTGTGCCTGAGGTACAGCAAACTTTTTCTTATTAATCACAAGAAGTCAGTACTCCTGCTTCTGGACTTAAAAAAAAACACACACATAAGCAATTCAGATGTTTTCTATTCCAGTCCCCTCTGCTGATAAGTTAAAAAGTAGTAGCATGACCAGAAGCAGAAAAATATTCAATAAAAAACACCCCAAAAGCAGTCCCTAAGCCCTTGAAATGCTAGTGAGTCATGGGGGACATTAAATCAAACTTCTGGAAGGAGAGACTTCTTTAGATATATATGAGGAACTTTTGACTCATCTAATCACAGAGTTAATGACCATAAGTGAGATGTGAAGAAATGGAAAGCTCAGCATTAAGTCTCATGACAGGACCAATCATACAGTTAGAGCTAATTTTTTTTTTAGTAAGAAGCTCTAGGAAGATATAAAGAAAAAAGTTGCCATGCTAAGGTGTTTAGCAAAGATCAGTTATGAATCTGTCAGAGAACAGAAAGCTATTAAATCGAAGGAGGATTTAACATTAAGATTTAACATTAATCTAACATTAGGAAAGTTATTCAATCAAATTATTATAATTTCAAGATTAAATCTGAATGAGACTTCATGCCTTAAAAGTGAAGACTCTGCCAAAAAGAATGTAGACTTTGTTATTAATATAAAAATACTATTTTGACAAGACAAATACAACACTGATTTTGTTTTGCTGCTATATATGTACCCTGGGATTAATATTGGCATATTTATATCTGTAGTTTTAAGAGTGAAAAAGCCTAGACCTTGAGAATCCATTAAAACCTTGCTGGTTTGGGTTTTTCTTAATATCCACTGAAAGTTATTGAGGCTCATCTGTTGCAGACTTGTCTTTTTGTTTGGTTTTTTTTTTCACACATTGACCTTCATGCAAATTTAATTAGTAAGAAGGTAAAGAGATCTAGTGCGTAAGCTACCTCATTTTTATCACTGTGGGAAACTTAATAACTCAGTCTCCTAATAGGCTGCTACATTTTTTTTGTATTTGAATAGACATTGGTGAAAAAATTCTCCACACCTTGTCTGTTTAGAAAGGATTAGTTATGTTTCTCTGTCTTGGTATGAGTCTAATGCATGTTGCTTTGAAGTAGATGACAAAATACAGGTTTACTGGTAAAGTGCAAACTGGCTTGTTTCAAGCAGGGTTTTAATTATGAAGATTTTCTTTTTAATTTGAAGATTTTACAAATTGTTTACAGAGCAGGCTATGCGTTATTTCTTTGCATCACCTCTTCCTTACTTTTTATGTCTGCATCATAGATAGTTCTTTGGCATCTACAGTAATTGCCAGCTGGGAGAAGTTATCTTATTCTATTATTACAAATTGTCTTGCCAGAGTTAACCAGGAATTGTAAGGGTTTGGGGTGTGGGGGTGGTGTGGAGGTTTTCTGGTTCAGATTTGACATGAAACCTTTCATCCCTTCTAGAGGCATTGAGAACTTTATCTAGATTTTACATGTGGTGTTGCTGCATGACTGGATTTATTTTAGAGTAATGTCAGGGCTTTGCATGGTGTTATTGCATTCTGTAGGGCAGGTCATTGCCTGGATATCCTGCGACTGCTTTGGAAGAAGCTTTGCATCTCCCATGGGCAAATAGCTAAATGAAAGTATGAAATCTGCAGTTGGTACGAGTGGAGAAATGTGTTCAAAGTCATGGGAATATACAGCGCAGCGTGGGTGGGATCAGGAACGGTGCAGAGGTGGGTGCTCCAGCCACCTGCTGGAGCAGGATGGGCCAGCGGTGCTGTGGTGGCTCCTGTGCGGCTTTCTCCGCACTGCTGCGGTGCACACTGTGAGGCTTCTGGCGCTGTCACCTTATGCACCAGGGAGCTCTCAGAAAGTGCCAGCCGCCTTCCGGTAAGAAACCTGCACAGGAAATTGTCGTAGCTCTTCCTCAGTAGTTACGGGAAAGGCTTCTTTGTTTGATTATCAGTAGCAGTTTCCTGTCCATTAACACAGGCACAGGCAGTGTCCCTGGCCAAGCTGAGGAAAGACTACTGCTGTAGGACCGACCATTCCCTGGTCCAGTTGCCATTTTGCTCATGAGATTCTTTAGATTTGGGAAGCTGCATCTTTGATTTTAGAGCCATATGATAGATTTAATGGCAAAATCAGTGCTTTAATTAAACGAAAAAGGTAAGGGTATTCACCTGCATCTCCTGCTGTTATGACAAGTGGGAAAATCTGGCAGTTCTAATGTTTTGTTTTGTTTCAGTAATTTTAATTTAATGGAAGTGTTTTTTCCTCTTTCTTTTGAATCTGTGAAGACTTGAGTATCTGACAGTTTACATTTCAGGAAAGGTTAGGGAAACTAGGCTGTCTGTCTAGAAATGATGTGACTGTCTAATGTGAAATTTTAGAAACGAGAAAATTGTTCCTTAATTATTTGCAGTAGTAACTGGTGATTCTAGCAAGTAGCTGAAAATATTTGTGTCAATTGTGACTTTTATCTAGCTCATGTTAAAATAGCTATTTGTGAGTAGTTAGTCAAGTTCCTTTACAGTTGTACTGAAATGCAACTTCCAGAGCCAAAGGGATTTAAAAGATCTCTATACATATCTGCTATATCCATTCTTTGGCATATGGACAGAATAATGGAATTCAATTACAGGTCTTGATTATCTTTAGAACACCTTGTGCACTTTTTTTTTACCGTTTTCTGTAGTTTTTGTTACTTTTATAATTTAAACTTTACTGTATACAAGAGTAAAGGGATTATAAAGCTTTCACTTTTCCAGTTGATTTTTTCAAACAAAGTTGGGGGAGTACAGATCTTAAATGCAGCGAGGTGTTGCATCTATGGCATTAGTTTGGATTGTTGGGCTTGGTTTTGTTGCCACGTTTCACCTCTTACTCCTTTACTTGGTTGTTCTTAATTCTGCGTGTCTTTGCAGTTGTGGTTGGGGACTGGGTTTTTATTTTTCCTTCTGATTAAAATAAGTCCCTTTCATGTATTTTGCTAAATTGTAATTCAGTATATTGAATGCTTTGTTTTTAAGGTGAAAAAGAAAACTGTCTAATCAAAGAGCAGAGATGCAGAGCACTTCAAATTACCTCTGGCTGTTGTCTGACGTTCTAGGACAGGGAGCTACTGCAAATGTTTTCCGAGGGCGACAGAAGGTTTGTGAGGAATTACTAACCTAAGTAACATGTAAACTTTGATTTTTTATTTTGTGTGTGAGTAGCTTCATAAAATCAACAAAAAAGTTTAAGATTTAGTCCTAAAGCAGATCTATCTGTCTAATTATTCATACACAGTTTTTAATTTTTAATATTCATCTATTGAATTAGAGTTCTGTCATCATTTCTGAGGATTTGTTTTTAATATTGAATTATTTATCCTTGTCCTAAATACTACTGTTACTAATTCTTCATATTATTATGTGGGTTCGAACTGCTTCTCGATTTTGCTTGAGTGGTACGTAGTGCTTGAAACTGCCTATTTTGAAGAAGCAAAATACTAGTTTATCAGTATAAACAGAACAGTAAAGGAAAAGAGAACAACATTCAGCTACTGGAAGTTGTCTCTCAACTTAAGCAAGCCATCATCCTCAACTGTAGTATGTGCTTGCCTCTTATTGATTTGTCCAAATAACTTACCTCTTGCTGAAAAAATATTTTTCGGGTAATTTTATGGGTAATTCTGAAATGCATAGCCTTTCTTATGCTAACTGTTCTTTTTTTAAAAGCACTTAGATTTTTTGAGCTAATGAGTTTCCATTCTGCTAGTCAGTTTGCTTCTAGTCTATGTTAAACTAAACCAATGTATATGTAATTTTTTTAGTAGAATCTTAATTTTCACCTTCAAACAAAATAATATTTTGAAATATTTCTAATCTGGTTATGCTCATATGCACAACAGATCTCAAAGCGCTTGGATAATGTCTATGTGTACATTTACAATCTTTTGCTTCTGTTTGATGAGTTGTTTGTTTGTTTTGAACAGAAAACTGGGGATTTATATGCTGTCAAAGTATTTAACAGTATAAGTTTCCTTCGTCCTGTGGATGTTCAGATGCGAGAGTTTGAAGTACTGAAGAAACTAAATCATAAGAACATCGTTAAATTATTTGCCATCGAAGAAGAGGTAATGAACTGTTGTGGTTGTGATCTGAGGTGCATGGAAATAACTGCGGTAACTCTTTGTTTTACCCTTAACTGTAGGGCAAATAGCTAAATTTTTAAAGAATGGTAACACACATGACGATTTAAGTACTCCAACCCAACCACCACTATTTTCTTCTTTTCTTTGTTTTTTGCTGTTGTTGCTGTTGCAAAAAATACACTTGCTTTCCGTTGGCAAAACACCTTCAGTGTTTACGTACAGGTTATGATTCTTCATCTCGAGAAGCCACTGTCCTAAGCTTTATCTTGAATTAGGATTTTTAAACTATATAAACCTATGAATATTTGATACATAGTGATACTTAAAGGTGTTTCAGTAATCTTGGCAATTTTACGCTTTTGCTTTGCAACCAACTAGAACAATGGCATAGGACGTGTAAAACTGTATAATAGTATAAATTGCAGTAGCTGACCTGAAACTGAGATGCTGAGAGTAGTAAAGAGTAAAGAAGGACAAATGGTTCTCTCAGCTTTTCTGGTGTGTAGTTTTTCATTTGTCCACCTATCAGTACTGCTGTCAACCTGCTAAGTCCTAGAACTTGAGACTTTCTTAGTTTTTTCCCCTCTCCAAGGTGGAACACATGAAACAATATAAAAATCCACCTGCACTTCTTTTGAGGATGATCACCAGAATGAGATTTATGATATAGCTACAGACTTTATTTTCTTTTTTGAAAGTAAAATCTTGTGGTTATATGTAATTTCTAATGTTGGTGTCGCAGTAGTCAGAGACTTAATATTTTTTTAATTTTTTTCCAGACAACGACTAGACACAAAGTACTAGTTATGGAATTTTGTCCATGTGGGAGTTTGTACACAGTTTTAGAGGAACCATCTAATGCCTTTGGTTTGCCAGAGTCTGAGTTCTTGATTGTTTTGAGAGATGTGGGTATGTACACTTTGCTCTTTAGCCTAATTTTTTGACTGAAACAAACTCATACTTGTTTTTTGAAACAGCAAGAGACAAATTTACGAAACTGTCAACTAATTGAACAAATTAATATGGTCATATGGAATCACATCTTTTATTTTTGTCTATGTTGTATAGGTAGCTGCATTAAGAAGCCATTTCTGTTTAAAGCATTAATATAATTCTTTTTTCTTTCTTTGTTTCAAGATTATTTTTCACACTTTGAACTGACTTCTAGTGATAATTAATTTCAGAAGAGTAAATTAAAAATATAATTTAGTTTACCTGTGTTTACCTCTTACAAAACCTTCCTCTATTACTTTATGGGAAAGATATTACTGAGAGCAAGAAATACTGTAATTTAGATGTTTGAAGGGGAAAAAAAAAAGCAATCTCTAGTCACGGTCTTTTTGTTAATTGAGTGTCCCTTCTCATTTCTATTTCCCAAAGAGAACTTGTGTGTCTTCCTAGCATCAGTTACAGTTCAGTGTTTGCACAGTCAGTCTCAAAATGTGTACATGAACTCTGTATTTTTTTTTAATTGAAGTGGCTGGAATGAATCATCTCCGTGAGAATGGAATAGTGCACCGTGACATCAAACCAGGCAATATAATGCGTGTTATAGGTGAAGATGGTCAGTCTGTTTATAAACTTACAGACTTTGGAGCTGCAAGAGAACTTGAAGATGATGAACAATTTGTTTCTCTCTATGGCACAGAAGAGTATTTAGTAAGCCATATGATTTCATTTTCTCTTGAAGAAATGTTTGAAGTCTGGGGCCCTTTGTGATTAGAGTTGAAAAGTGAAGGTCACACTGTTGGGAATTAGTGTTTAAACCTTTGTATTATAATTTTTTTCTATAACTTTCTGCTGGACTTCTTCACCTTGAGTCATGCCATCTTCTACTACTCTGAATATGTTTGCCTTGAAATAATTTCCAGGTCCAACTTCAACTGTTGCTTTGTGTGAAAGGAGGAACAACAATATTCTAGTTATGAGCGTATTTGCCTTTATCTCTGTAGATATTTTTTAGTTTGTGGTTCTAGTACTTGGGTGATGTTAGGCGTAGTGAAGATTCACTTGATGCCTTAGTTAACCAAAGAGGGGCAGGCAGAGAAGTGTAAGTACCTTAGACCGTGTTTTCTTCCTGCCATATTTTCCCACATATGCATTGTAACGGAAAGTCTCCTCTGCTATGGATCTTTTTTCAGTTTGATTTCGGTTGTTCCAATATCATTTAGAGGAACACTGACTTTCTCCTCTTTTTAGTGCTGTTTTATACTAGTAGTCACTGTTTAGCTGAACTTTAAAATATTGTTTGCAAACTTTTGAATAAAAGTGACTGTCATACCTAGAACGCTCTAGTGATAATCTCTCAGAATAGCTTAAGCAAATTCTGTGATGCATGCTAACTTTGCTTTTTGATTAAAGATCTGAAAGTTTAGAATGACAGATTATCCTGCTGTGAAAAGATAGATTGGGAGTTTCTTCTTGATACTGTTCATAAAGCAGTTCTAACTTCTTTTTTATTTTTTTTTTTCTTTTGTCTTTAGCATCCTGATATGTATGAGCGAGCAGTCTTGAGAAAAGAGCACCAGAAAAAGTATGGAGCAACAGTTGACCTGTGGAGCATAGGGGTGACCTTTTACCATGCTGCAACAGGGAGTTTACCTTTCCGACCTTTTGAAGGACCTCGTAGAAACAAGGAAGTGATGTAGGTAATTTAGAAGGAGAATTTTATCTGTTGGTAAATTAAATCAGTCTGTGAAATGCTTTTTAGCAATAAATCCTACACACATATAGTATTCATTTTTTCTTAATTATTTTCACTGTTTTAATTTTCTTTAAATTTGTGATATAGCCCCAGTAGGTAGCTGAGCACCACACAGCTGTTCGGTCACTCCTCTGTAGTGGAATGGGGAAGAGAATTGGAAAGGTAGAAGTGCAAAAACTAGTGGGTTGAGTTAAAGACAGTTTAATAAGTAAAAAAACACCACAGCAACCCTTGCCCCTTAAACCCAAAGGAAAATAAAACCAAGAAAAACAAGTAATGCAAAAAAACCCCAGTTCCTCACAAGCAGCCAACTGATGCCCAGTCAGTCCCTGAACAAATGCTACCCTGGCAAATTCCACCCCCTGGTGTCAGCTTCTGTTGCAGAGCAATATGGTATGGAATATCCCTTGGACTCAGCTGTTCTCCTGTGTCCCCTTCCAGCTTCTTGCCTACCCCCAGTCTGCTTGCTGGTGAGGCAGTAGAAAAGTAGAAGAGGCCTTGGCACTGTGTAAACACTGCTCAGCAATGACTAAAAACATGGCTGTGTTAATAACGCTGTTTTGGTCACAAAGCCAAAACACAGTACCATACACTGCTGTGAAGAAAATTAACTCCATCCCAGCCAGAATCAGTACGAACGTTCTGCTTCAACAAGGATTTTACTGTGTGGCAACTTAAGACCTGAATTAAGTATCAGAGCTCCCCCAAAAGACAGATGTTTTTCCATACATCTTTCCTTTAGCCTGGCACTAGGCTGGTCTGTTGCATATATAATGCAACATGTATATGATGTCTATAACTTGGATATTTGGGCAAAATTATGGTATTTGGAAATTGGCTTTCAGTGCTGCAAATTTTTGTTGTTGTTTAAATGATTGTCTTCCCAGGTAGTCTTGAAATGCATGCACTACCCATGAGACTAACATTTGAGTAGTACAGTTGTGGACTGTGGCTGAAGATAACAGGGATAGCTCCTGAATGAGAAACAGAAGTTGTGTCTATGGCACGATGACTGTATTTGATTCCTATTTCATCTTAGTCTAGTTCTATTTTGTTGTTCTGTGTGTTGCATTTGAAAAATAAAGCAAGGTGGTACTTGGGAGCTCTAACACACCAATAAGATCTCTGTTCTAGTATTCCTTGTAAAGCTGACTCCAGTTTTCTTAGCTGAAGAAATTTCCCATCTTGTGATTTTCCCACAGTTATCCTTGTCATTGCTGCTGCTTGAGACATAAGCAGGGAACATATCTTTTGTATGTACCTTGTCCTCCAAAAAGACAAAGCGCAGCTGAAATGTTCTGTTGTAAAAAGCCTGTTGCTCCTGATTCATCTAATGAGAAGTTTGAGAAATACTGTCCTGTGCAGTACAAATTTAGACAATGCTGAATTGTATCCTGGTTTCTAGATGTTTCTTTATCCCCAAGCCACTTTGTGGTGGCTAAATTTCATCTCTTGCTGTGGAATGTGCTAGAATTTAGTCATGTTAATGTCTAAGTTGTGCTAAATTGACTTTGATTAATTAACATTTATGAAAAATTTAGAATTTTCTTCAGTATGCTGGAAATATCTCCCAAATTCATCCCCAAGCCTGAGGTAGACAAATTTGTTTCTCCAGCATAACTTTGCATTCTTTGCTCTTTCAGCACCGTTCTGTCAGCTTGGAAGCAAAACTTCAGTTACTGCATCATCTACAAATTTAGGCCAACCTGTTGTTTAGATTTATATTATTGCTGGCCCTTGAGGATTAGTTACTAGACCTGTATATGTGTAAGAGGTAGTAGTTGAAGTCTGTATTATTTTTGTAATGTATTGCAGGTATAAAATAATCACTGGAAAACCTTCAGGGGCTATTTCTGGAATACAGAAAGCAGAAAATGGACCAATTGAGTGGAGTTGGGAGATGCCTGTTTCTTGTAGTCTTTCAAAGTAAGTTTGAACTGTTCACAAAATGTTTCAATGCTACTTGAGTGCATTTGTTGAGTTACTTTCTCAGGATTGTGTCTTTGGAACAGGGATCTGATGCACTTTTTGTCTTCAAACTCTTTGGTATATCAGTACAGTGTGATAATAGGTTATCAAGTGCTTTTTCTTCCTATCTGTTCAAATGGTTTTGTGATTGCTAATTTACAAATTGGGACCTGAGAATCTGAAGTGGTATGAGTAGTAGAAATGTTATTGCTATTTTCCCCACCCTCAGGAATGAATATGAAGAATCAATAACTCTGATGGCCCTCCCTTCTTGCAAGAATGTGACTTCAGACATGACAAAGATTAGGCAGTAGGAAGGAAATGATAAGAAAAAAACAGTTCAGAGGCTTACTTTTTGCTAGGAAAAAGTCACATCAGCGTATTTTAACATTTAATATCTTTAAATTTTATCATCCTATTTTTGCTTCATAATATTGTGTTCTTAATATTCAGTAGGAAGAGGCATGGAAGATCTAATTTCAGTATGACTTTTAAAACACCTTCCATAACCCATTTACCTCTTTATCTTCCTGAGATTTCTTCCATTTTTTAAAGTTACTACTCTTTCATGGTAAGGAGGAAAATAAATTGGTCTGTGAACCAACTCTAGAAACAAACTTTTTTGAAAGCCAAATATGTAGTTCCATAAGGGATGTAAGAGTCAAAGTCTGTTTTTTATCAATTCGTTAGTTTACATTGTACAGAACTTGTAATTTATATGTATTTTTCATGATACTGTTCAGTTGTTTTCTCTGTTTATTCCATATAATTGAATTGCTTGAAATAATAAAAGAAAGTAGATTTTTTCATTAAACATCTGTTCACACTGATATTTTTAAGTAACATTTAAACAGCATTTACTGTTATAAGTTTAGTACTAAAGTGAGTTTGAACACAGCATCCTCTGACCTCTAAAGGGGCTGTCAGTGTGCTTGTAAGCCGCTGGAGCTTGCTTCAAAAAGTTACCAGTTTTACTTCTGGATTCAATTTGATATGTACATAATGTTAGAACTTAGGGGAAGTTGTTCATGGTAACACTGGAGTAGGATGAATAAAGTTCCTTGGAATTCAGGTACTCAAAGTAGAAATGCAAGAAATTTAAACTGACCTTTCTCTTAGAATAGGAACGACTGTAAGGCAATAGTTGCTCATTTTTCTTTGCAGCATGCTGCATGTGTGGAGTACTTACTTAGCCCTGTCTCAATCAGGATGAATTCTTAGTGTTGACAATTTAAATAATGAGTCTTCACTAACCCAGCTGATTTTGACTGAAAACAATATAGTGTGCTCACACAAGTAGCTCTGCCAGCAAACCATAAATGGCAGTAGCTTCCTTCAAAGTGATACACTGTGGTAAGTGCACATGTGGGGTGAGCTGGGTAAAAGGCTACAGCAGTGGTAAAAGGTGACCTCGGCTCTGCAATCTAGACTTGTTTAGTTGCATGTCATTTTTGCACTTACCTGTGAAATTTGCTAAATACCAAGAAAAAACATGTGATAGTTGAGCTTAAAAAGGAAAGAGATAAAGTGTGTGTAGTAATGAAAAACAATGGACATTACTGCTGAACATTTTGTTGCTCAGTAGCGGGGGGGGGGGAAAGGCACTGGCCTTCAGGCATAAGAGATTTGCATTCATGAGACCAGTCAAATAAAGTATTGCAATTGGTTACAAAGTGAAAAGTTCCAAGTTCATCCAAGTTGTCTTATCTCTACCTGGTGTCCTCTAGGGGTCTGCAAGTTCTCCTCACACCTGTCCTTGCGAATATTCTTGAAGCAGACCAGGAAAAATGCTGGGGATTTGACCAGTTTTTTGCAGAGACAAGTGACATACTGCACCGAATAATAATCCACATATTTTCGTTACAGCAGATGACCTTGCACAAAGTTTATATTCACAACTATAATACGTAAGTGTTCTCTCTCTCTATTTTCATTACTTTACTCTTATTCAGACTAACAGCACTGTGACCTCAGGTCACCAGTGTTACAAATTCAGTAGCCTTTCCTTCACAGTTTATCTGAGAAGTGAAAGGATGCAATTATTCTGTGTAGTCACAGTCCATAGAAGCGTGTTGACCAGAAATAAAAATAATTGAATCAACTGATCTTACACTTGGTCTTACTTAGTGACAGAACACAGACTTAATCCTTGACCTGTTAGCAATGTGTTTGTTTTCACAATGGAGACCAGTTCATCCCGCATTTGTATATATTACTTGTCTACAAAGTAATTTTCTAGAGACTGTGTTCAGGTCTCGCTTTTCTTATCTTGTTCCCAAGAACACAAAAGGCACACGTCATCTCTGATGTAAAACTCTCACAGGGGTTCTGAAATGGTAATTGGTACAGTTTAGGATCTTTAGTTATATGGGGTTCACTTTATGGCCATTAAGTGCTGATGTTAAAAGCTTTTAAGTATGCAAATATAAATACCTTTTCTCTACCTTATTACAGATAATACAGACCATATCATATTCTCTAATAAACAAACACATAGTGTTATTTCATTAAATATATAAATACAGTTTTGGCTTTTTCCAAGTTTTCTGTTTTGTTGTTTGTATTTTGAGAAAGCACATATATTATTTTTATGGAGAAATCTTGCTTGTAGCTCAAGCTGCTCTTTTTACTTTATTTTAAAAATTTATTTTATTATTAATATTTACTTTTATGATTATATATAACCTAGCTGTAGTATTAAGAAGTGGTAGTGTACTACTGCTGCACAGGAGGCAAATTGGTCCTTCCTGTGGTAGGTTTTTGTGGGGGTTTTTTTCCGGGGGAGATGTATAGTGTTACAAATTTTTATACCTTGTATCGATTGATTGCTGGAAGTAGAATTCCACAGTGTCTTTGGTCTTCCTTATCATTTCAGTTTTAGGAAATAATCTGGTTGTCTGGTAGCTTACAGGATGAATTTAATTTTTAAAATTTTTTAACGTGTAAAACACCAGACCTTTCTTTTGGAGAGACCATCTGTCCCCTTTGAAGAAAAGGGTATGCCTGAGAAAACCTAAGTATGCTTCCTTCCCCTCATCTACTGTTGCCTGTTTGTGCTGACCTTCAAACCAGAGCAAGTTTGTTTACACAGACGTGCTTTGGTGGAAAATCAGAGGTAGAAAGGAAGTTTGATATTTTGCAGGAAATAGCATTTATTTTTGTAACAGAGCAACCTTGAGCCTTAATCAGTGTGCTGCTTTTTTTCTAGTTACAAGTCAAATGCTTTATATGTAAAACCAGTTCTTAATTAATCAGAAGTAAAAGCAATTTTTATTTAAACTCAGAATCTGACTTGTTGAACTATAGTGAGTCTAACTACTGCTGAATATATTGTGTTATAGAGCTGCTATATTTCATGAATTGGTCTACAAACAGACAAAAATTCCATCTCAGAATCAAGAACTGATATATGAAGGTCGGCGTTTAATACTAGAGCCTGGCAGATTGGCACAGCACTTCCCCAGAACAACTGAGGAGAATCCTATCTTTGTTGTGAGCAGGGAGCCTGTCAACATTGTTGGATTAATCTATGAAGAAGGTATATGAAAGCAGTTTCCCCTTTCTTATAGCTATCTTTTGTGATAGTTTGAGTTATTTAATTTAATCGGTTTATGTCTGTTATGTCTTAGAAATAGCATTTGAAATTTTTCTTTGTTGATACCTGAAGTTCTAAGAATGTGGTCCAATGTTTTTCAAAACTTCTAAGTATCCAGAACACCTGGAAACACCTACAGAAACAATAGGTGGTTGTAATGTTCCAAGGGCTTTGAACCTGAGCATTTGTGTGTTAAGATGTAGTGGTGCATATTAAGTTCTGATTTTTTTTGAAACATGACACTTAACAATTAGAAAGCAACATTATAGAGGGTAATTCAAAGATGGTTCTTTTGTTCCATTACTCACTAAGTGGAAAATCAAGTTTTGTTTATATTTGTGATGGCTATGGTTAACCTTTCAGTTCCCAGAGAAGGTTTTAATAATTTACATTTGCTCAGAAGATAAGATAATGGCCTAACAGGGAAAAAAAAAGAAATCAAGGTTTTGAATTTCCACTGAGCATCGAGAGGCTTATAGAGGAGCCTATGCCAGAGCCCTTTTTTATATGTGATGAGGCGGAGGATGTGGCTTCAGTTGAGAGATCAGTGTTGCTTTTGTCAATATGTCCTACGTACTGACTGCTCAGGCCAGCTGGCACTCACACAGAGGTGCTGAAGGGTGCAGGTGGGTGAGCTGTTTGTGGAAGGATCAACGGGGCCTTTATATTGTCAGAGCCTTCTGAGATAGTCAATGGGCATGAGAATAAAGGAGATTCAGCTGACAGAGGCTACCAGAGGTTTAAGAAAGCTCTTTGGTGAAGTCCTGCCCTGAAGAGTCTCAGTGAAACTGAGCAGCCTTGAGACAAAAAGAGAATGGTCTCTCATGCAGGCAAACAAAGGGCTGAAGAACAGAACTAAACAGTTGGCTTTCTCAACGGAGAGACATTGCTAGTGGAGACCTGCATGAGATTTGTGCTGTGCAGCATTTTCAAAAGTGAGTCTGGAAAAGGAAATGAAGGTCAATTTGCTGAAGATACCAAGTTATTTAGAGCATTTAAGACAAAGGCTGATTTTGAAGGTGTGCATGAGAACCACACGATATTAAAAGGCAGTGCAGTAACAGATTAGATTAAAATCCATGTAGATACACAAAAACAGTGCATAGGATGGGGAGGGAAAATCTGAACTTTGAAGTCTTATGGAAAATAAAAAATTACAGATACTTGTTTTATATTTCAGTTTTACTTCCAAAAGTACATCAACGTTATGATTTGGATGGGGATGCCAGTATGGCTAAAGTGAGTAATTATGATTTTAGTTTATATACCTGATACTCAGATAATGATACTGAAATGAAAGCTACTCAATTTTCAGATGAATAATGTTAATAAAACTATTTTAATATGCTAAAGAGGATTTGTGATTGACAGAAATATATTTGTTAACAAAGGGTCTAAAAGTATATTAAAGCCTTACTTGGCATACAAAATATGGTTGTATATTTAAAAAAAAACAACAAACAACCAAACCCAAAGTCCAGTCTTCTAAATTCCAACGACTCTGTTATTGCATAATTCAGTGTTAGGGGGAAAGGAGCCTGACACTGTGGAGTCCTGAAGTAGCTAGAAGATTAATAACATCAGCTGTGATGATGCAAAATTTAACATTAGAAAAATAACTTGTCATTTTCTCTCAATAGAGAGGAGTCTCTAGGACTCTGCATAAGGGTGGAATCTCTACTGCCTCTTAGAAATTTTCAGAATCTGTGGGGGACAAGTAGAGCATGTTTCATTCTTTTGATCATTTTTGTAAAACTGCTGAACTGGAAAACTCACTACCATGTTTAGCTCTGCCTTCATAATGAGTGTTTGGTTGTCTTCTGACTAAAGTTTAGGCCAAGTTACGCATTTTAAATCACCATCCTCATTATTGCTCTTTCTTTTATCAATCTGTTTTGCTTTGTTGTGATGTATTGACTTGAAGCAATAGTTAAGAGAATGCCAGATTAGTTCTTATGTTGCTTGTTTTCTCCTTCAGGCTGTGACAGGTATTGTATGTTATGCCTGTAGAGTTGCCAGTTCTTTGCTACTTTACCAGGAGTTGATGCGAAAAGGAATACGATGGCTAATGTAAGCAAATGATTGCATTTCATTATACCTTTTTTTTTTAATTGAGGTATGCCTTTATTATCAAAACACAATTCTGTGATCTCTTTTTATCTTGGAAGTTTTTCCTTACTCCTTGAATATGAATAGGCTTTCTGAATTTTTTCCTTCTTGCAGTTATTAGGAAAGCGAAAATATTTTTTTCCTGAAAATAAAGTTAAGGTCTTTGCAAATTCACTTTCTTCTGTAGATAATTTAAGTTTAACCTTAAGTTTAACATGCAGGGACAATTGAACAACTTGCACAAGGTATCTTTATATGAGGATTATGGTAATGCATTTCTAAGTGAAAGCAATTCCTAGTGGCAGTTATTACTGCAGTATATTGTTCTATTACTGATTGGTAGGATAGCAGTTGAATATTTTGTTATGAACTAATGCTTCACTTTTTTAGTGAAATAATCAAGGATGATTACAATGAAATGGTTCATAAAAAGACAGAGGTTGTCATCAGGCTGGATTTCTGCAGGAGAAACATTGAGAAAGCTGAGAAAATGTGAGTAGAAACACTACACCAAATGCATTGATTTTTTTCATTATCCTTTTTAGTGACAGTAGTATTTCAAGTTATGGTTATTTGCAGGGGGTTTGCATCTAAAAATTAAATTTGAATCAACATGGATTTTCTGATGGCAATGACTTAAGCAGATTTAGTCATATGCTTTTACTTAGAGTATTAATTTTCCTGCTTAACCCAGTAAGAACAAATAATTACTATTAAGTAGTAATTGTGTGTGTCCTTTTTCTCCCTTCTTCTCTGACTCCACTCATTTGCTGTTGTTGACTCTAGAAGCTATAGTAAAGCCCAGACAAAGAATTGAGTAGCTTTCCTTTCCTTTCATTAGTGCTTTTGTCATGGAGTTCGGTTGTGTATGACTTTAAATACTGCCCCTTTCAGCTTTAAAACTGTAGCATTTTCTGCATGGAAGAAGTTTTAATGTTGAAGTATAACATAGAGCAGCTGCAAATAAAACCAAACCCACCCCCCATGCAATTAAAAAAAATATATATATATATATTAACACCCCCAAAAAACAAAGCTGCATTAGGGTATCACTAGATCATGGTGCATGCATGTAGGCATGCCAGAAATAAACTGAACAGGAAATTCTACATCTGTCATTATTTTAAGTGTTGACTATTATTTTTACCTATTTTGGTTAATTCAGATGGAGAGGTCTTTATCACAGAATCTCACTGTTGCCCTTATGGACCCATTCAGGTCCCTATAGCAGAAAGATTTTTAGAGCACTTCCTGTAAAACTGACACAATTTATAACTAGGCAACTAAAGAATTGTCTTTTAGCATAAGAGACCTCCAATTTTTTAAAAGATGAGAGAAGACACTTATTTCTCTTGCCTTTCATGTTGAGGAAGCAAATGTTTTCCATTGGTCAGACTCCTCTGCCCTACCTCTTTCAGTCAGGTCCTGGTTGAAGGAGATGAGATTGCACTGTTCAGTTCTCCCTCCAAGTATCTTTTTTTTTTTTCTCTTCTCACCTTTGTTTCCTCTTCAAATTCCACTCGATGTCCAATTCAGAGTCACATTCTTTTCCACTTTTAAAGAATCCTCACAGTGTTTGTTCAAGTCTTTCCACAAGGCTATGCTTTGAAGTGTGACAATGCCAAGTTTTTATTTGAAAAGGTAAACAAGTATTGAGCAAAGTGTGTGTTTTTGAAAGCAGTTGAACTGGTTGTTACTGTATTTTTAAAAATAAAATGTACCTGAGACTCAACAGGAAAAATATTGTCCTGAATAAGTTGGCACTTAAGCTATGGTCATATGGAAAGCATCAGTATGAACAGATGGTCTTACCATCCCATCCTTTAAACTTTTACTAGCACAGCCTTTCCAGTAAGTTTCCTCAGAAAAGCATTTTGGTGAACAGAAGTATTAGTTTATGTGTCATTGACTACTTTAAATAACTTTAGTTTGGTAATATTTTAAAAATTATTTGATTAAAGAAAATAGTCCTCCACTGCCTGTGAAGTACAAGTAATGAGACTAGACTAAAGAATTCAGGAATGGAAGTTGCAAATTTCTTTTTAGCAGTTCATACATAGGAAAAAAATGCAAGGAATTTCTTTTCAAAACTAAAATATTTCTATTATTAATGGCCACATAACATTGTCAGAGTTTCATGGTTTTGTTTGACAGAGACTGTTTTTTATAGACAAGAAATGGGAGTTATTGTTACAGCCTGGATTCAAAAAATATTTTGAGTGTATTCACTGTTTTTCTGTTTTCTCTAACTATGCTTTTTTTGGTGGTCAGATATGAGAATTTGATGCAGATCAACTTGGAAGCATCAGAAGTGGATGAAATTTCAGAGATACACACAAAACTGTTGCGTGTAAGTACAAAGATTCTGTGTCATTCTGAAAATGGTGTTTCTAAAGAAAAAGCCAAATACGTGATAACACAGGTTTCTGTGAAAAACAGCTCTGAATTTTCAGTGTAATTTCTAGATTGCCCAGTAGTTGTTAAAATGTCCATACTAATGTGAATATCTTTCTGAAAACAGGGTAAAGCCTTTTATATTATCTCAGTGTAGTGAAAATAACTTCCTGAAAATATAGTCTTATTTTCTAAAATACTCAAGTAAAGAATTATAACCTGGAAATATATTTTACTTTGCTGTTATTTTACCATTCCGTAAGAAATTTTTAACTACTTCGTTGGCTTTCTAAAATGTGACATACACAAAGACACATCAGAGCAATCTGATTTGAAATGTGCATGATGTTTCCAGACAAGTAAGGAAAAATTGAAAATAATTTTACACACTGGTGTCCTGGGAGCAGTTATAAAGTTCTCCATTGTAAAAGCAAAAGATGATTAGTGCATTTTTATTTTGAATGTTGTATGAACTGCAGAGAAAGAAAGATATGAATTATGTGCATAGTCAGTATACGAATTCTTAACAAACCAAAAGAACAAGTGTAAAAGTAAATTGGGTATATGAAAGGTTGAAACTTACTGTCGAAAGAGAATAAAATTTAACTAAATTAACAGAAATGCCACCATCAAATATGATTCTTTCTTTAGTAATACCATATTTAATACCATATTTACTTTTAGAAAAACCTCGGCAAATAACTGGACATATTTCTTTAATGGAGATCATTGACATAAATGGTATTGACATAAATAGTATTAATGTGTTCAGTCTCAAGTAATCCTCAAGTAATTTTTCACTTTACCCAGTGGTAAGATTGAACTTTCTTGCTCCTACATAGCTCTCCAGCTCTCAGGGCACAATAGAAACTAGTCTTCAAGATATCAAAACCAAACTCTCTCCTGGTGGTTTACTGGCTGATGGCTGGGCAAATCAGGAAGGCATGCATCCAAAAGACAGAAAGTGAGTACCTATATTTATTATTCTAATATGTGTCGAATTCTACACTGAGTTGTAGTTCATAAAACTCATTAATAGGTACTTGAGTTTATGTGTAAAATCTCATTTTCTTCCTTTTGTCGCTCTAGTCCAGAAAGGCTGCAGGCGCTGCTGTCTTCCATCACAGACATTTATTATCAGTTCAAAAAAGACAAAGCAGAACGAAGTAAGTAACTTATTTGATTCACTTTTAACATAAAATGTAAGGTAAAGGACAGATCAGTCTTTGTTTGACTAGGATGTTTGTGGTAGGTATGGAGAGTTAGCCACAGTGAATATGTCTGCTGGTCTTTCTTTGTGTGATACCATCTTAAAGCCTATGTGAATGAAACACCTCTATTAATAGCATAAATTTCAGTTGGAAGACTGGAGAGGAGAAAAAAAAAAAGTGACCACTTTTACCTATCAGGAGAAGGAAACCGTATAGGAAATGGGTAAACTTAGTTGATTTTGGCATAAATACAGCTAACAGAATTAAACTGCTAATGTCTGTCATCTGCTCTGATTCTAGGGCTTCCCTATAATGAAGAACAAATTCACAAGTTTGACAAGTAAGTTTTGAAGTTACCTTTGGGAAATACCATGATTGCTTTCAGGTCCTTCAGGTGTTCTTGCCAATAACCTCTTCTGCTGATTTTTATTGTAAATTATAACCTCTTTAGGATTGCTTGAGGTGACAGGATGTGATAATGAGGTGCTTTCTGGCTGTGGCGTTTCTTCACTGATAGGGGTTCTAAATGTGAAATACCTGTGAAAATGTGGAAAAAAAACTATCTGGGCATAACTGTTATACAGGAAGTACACTTTTTTTCCTGTTTTTTTTTCAGGGATGAAACAACCCTCAGTAACACTGAAATGACTTTGTAACTAAAGTGGACATAATTTTCTACAGACCAAAAATATAGGGACTAGCTAAATGAAATTCTAGCATGATTTAATCTTCCAGGAAATATAGCTTGCAAAATAAATTTTAATGCAGTTTTCCATGCCTATTTAAAATTGTCACTTTTGAGAAGTGGCGTCATGAAGTGTCTGTGTGTAACCTGGATGTTTAGGCTCCCATTAGGTTCCACTGACTCTACACTGATGCACTTGTCTCAGGATTGATTTGGTTCCTCATATGCAGTTTCCCTATGCCATTTAAGTTGCCCTAAGGTATTTGAGACTGGCAGGTAGGACACAAGTCAAATGGGTAACCTACACCTTTCTGGACAGATGGTCAGAAGCAGGGCAGGGGTATCCTTGCTGGAGAAGAGAGTGTTGCATGGAGACCTCATGGCAGCCTTCCAGTAGCTGAAGGGAGGCCTACAAGGAAGCCAGAAAGGGAGTCTTCATCAGGAACTGTAGTGATAGGACAGGAATAATGGCTTCATATGGAAAGAGGGGAAATTTAGGTTAGATATATTGAAAAAATTCTTTACTGTGAGGGTGGTGAGGCACTGGGACAGGTTGCCCAGAGAAGTTGTGGCTGTCCCATCCCTGGCAGTGTTCCATGACAGGGACGTTGGAACTAGGTGATCTTTATAGTCCCTTCCAACTCAAGCCATTCTATGATTCTATCTCAAACTGTGCTAGATGCTTATGTATAACTAATTAAATTATTCGTCTAGCAGCTGATCAGTTGAGTGGTTCCCTAGACTTTTCTGAGTGCTGTATGAATTTAGATACCACTTCTGTAATTCTCTAAAATGTCTTGCTCTTGCTACCATGAGTGTGGCTTTACTGATGACTACAGATAGAAAGCTGCTATGCAGAGGGCACTGTTTTCTCACAAGCATGCCCTTGATTTTCCCATAGTAAAAGCTAAATTGGATAACTGGAAACAGAAGAGAGATTTTTCTTCTACTCAAACCATGTCCTTGCATTAGTATGTGAATAACTTCAAATAAATAGGCTTCATTTTCATGGGTTTGAATACTGGTATATTTTCTACCACACGTGTCTCCTTGAGATTGTTCAGGTTTATTTGAGATCCTAAGTATGTCTTATTTTACTTGATTCACCTCAGAGAGAAATGGCAGTAGTTTTTGTTAAGGGCTGTGTGCTATTAGCAGCAGGGGCTGGCCTTTGTAATATTTACCTCTAGGCAAACAAGTGAGCAGCACTCACTCTGAATTTTTTTTTCTGGTTGAATGATAGGTATGCATTCCTGATAACAGTCCTGCAACACTCTATCGAGAATTTAATTAACCAGTAGCTATGATGCAAGACTTAGTGAAATACTAGAAGCAAGTGTTTGATTGTAGTGTTCCAGTATCCCTTAGTTTCACTTACTGGTTCAATGCATGGCATAGCAAGGCAGTTATGCTGAGATTACTGTCTGCTGCACTAGCCAGAACTGGGTTTTGTTTTGCTCTCCTGTCCTCTTCTGCTTGTTTTTTTTCTCTTGTCATAAATTTAGACTGAAACAAAGCTCCTGTTCTTTTTCTTGCATGTATGTTACTCTGTGCAAAGGATTATTCATATATACTGGAAACTCCAAGTATCTGCAGTAGGCAAATAAGAAATGATGAGGATTTCTGTCCTTTCTATTTAGAATCCCTTTTCCTTAAATATACCAGCTCAGCTAAATACTGATTCAAAGAAGACACTTGACCATTTGTTCTTAACAAATAATTGCAACTAAATGCTTCAAATAATTTTATTTTTCTCCCTGTTAGGGAATGTTTTTGAGACATAAACTGTCAGTTCCTGTAGAATGTTGAGTTCTCACACATTACCACAGGATGAAAAAAGGTGGCTGAACAGATTTTTAGTTCACAAACCTCTTTTCCAAATTTCAGAAAGTAAGTTAGAAGAGCGGGTTCTGAACGCAGTACAACACTGTTTCGGTTGTTTCTGTGTTGCAGGCAGAAGCTGTATTTGCATGCTACGAAAGCCATAGCTCTTTTCAAAGATGAATGTGTCAGCAAGTATGATATATTTTTGGACAAAGCTGAGGACTGGACAAGGCAAGCTATTTATTGATTTCTTTAGTAGTTGGTGATATTCACTGTACCACTTTTATATAGGCAGTTCTTTAAAGCAAACTTTTTTTCTTTTAGGAAAATGCTTCACACAAGGAAACAGTTACTGGCCCTCACCAACCAATGTTTTGGTATTGAAGAAGAGGTTTCCAAATACCAGGACTATATTAATGAGGTAGAATGCTTCAAAGTTATGTGAAGTATTTGCATAGATAAAAGACTTCCACATACTTTAATGTCAATAGTATTGTTTACAGTGAGTCTTATATTATAATATAATAATAATAATAATGGCCAGTCTTCGCGAGCGAAGATCCGGGGAAGGTCTTTCCACCTTCCAGCCTGCGCATTGGATTTTTTAGGTGAGACACAGTGTGCACGGAACTGAGCCCACCCTTTAATCCTAAGGTTCATCTGCCGGGGCCAAGCGGGCTTGGACGGTGGCAGTGAGGTCCTTAGGACGTAGGTGGGTTGCCTTTAAGGGCTAACGAGCCCCACCTACCCGGGAGTGGCCCTGACCGGGAATCGAACCCGGGTCTCCGCGGTGACAGCGCGGTGCCTTTCCATTAGACCACCAGGGGCTCCTACAATTAATTAATTATTAATTATATTAATATAATTATATTAATTATATTAATGCAGTTGTATTAAAATACATGGCTCCATGGATGCCGTATGTGGTCTGTAGTAGCTTCATTGCTGATGTCAGAGTGGACTAGAGAGTGCTGTTATTTTTTGAATCATGACAATTTTGGAGTTTGGGGAGGGATTGGATTTGCAGGGGGGGAGGCATTTGGCAGGGTTTGTGGTTTTTTTGGTGATTTGATGTTGGGTTTTTTTGTCATGTTGGCATTTCTCCCCCAAAAAATGTGTGCAAGTGGATGTGGTTTCATTGAGAAATGTTCTGTGCAATTGTTACCATAACATTATTTGAGAACCTAGAGATTATCTTAATACTCTTATGGAGCATAAAACCACTACTTTCATAATTAAGATTTAGGGGATACATGCTAAAGGATATATATTAAACTAATGCTGCTGGTGACATGAAAGAAAATGTTTTATTAAAATTTGAATGTTGACTCTGCAGGATGCAAGCTTAACAGAATTACTTCAAAATTGAGAGAATTAGAGTATTTTCATGTGGTAAAATTATTTTTTAGAGAGGAAAGATAAATGAAAGAAAAGCACTTGATAAGTTTAAAATCAGTTAAGGAATGGTGAAGAGCAGCATTTTACTCTTTATTTGCATTTAAGTAGCACCACCAAAGTCACTGATTAGTCCTATTAGCCACCTTAGTACTGTAATGCTTTTATGAGGTATCATAGCAATGGAGAATTTAAAGAAGGATTTTAAGGTGGGCATCAAGGTATACATAACAACTTATATTGTAACTTAAATTCCATGTTTATTTGTTACAGTTACAAGATGCACTGCCACAGAAAATGTTTGCAGCTTCCAGTGGGATGAAACATACAATAAATACAGTCTATCCAAGCTCAAACACATTAGTGGAAATGACCCTTGGGTAAGAATTTCTTAATGCCATTGATGTAATACTGTATACCTGCTATGCAGGTAAACAGAAAACAAAATAGTTGACTTAGTGATTGCTGTATTAAGATCAAGAATTTTATATTGCACAAGTGGTGGTACAGATTTGCAAGTGAGTAAGGGACAGCACTAGTTTATCTTTTGGTTAATAACCAACTGTTATCTGTCCCTATTTTGTATGTAAAAGCACGTGGTGGTGAGTGATCAGAGCAGGTAACTCTCCATATAAAAACTGTAACCTCTCTTTTGCTTTTGATTACTACAGTATGAAGAAACTAAAGGAGGAAATGGAAGGTGTTGTTAAAGAGCTGGCTGAGAACAATCACATTTTGGAAAGGCAAGCAGTTGTTTTCCCTTTTGGGGCTGATACTAAAACAGGCTTCATTTGGTACATTTTGTAGACCCAGAATTTAACCTAAGGGACAATTCTATAATGTCTTTAACTGTAAATATATTTTGAACTATTGAAATGAGATGTAAAAAAAAAAAAAATTATTCAAAACCTTGGAATATTGCTGTAAAATCATTCTGAAGTAGCCATTTATGTGGCATTTTTGTTTCATATTACTTAGGTTTAACTAATAAAAATATTTGTTGCACAGACAGATCAATCCTGAATTTAAACATAGTACTGTTGCAGCAATCCAGTGATACCTTTTAACTTCTGGCTTTTAGACATTACTTTTAACAACTGTGGAATTACATGAATCTGAATGAATGATTTTGCAGTTTTCAGATTACTTAAATAAAGCCAAGAAGCAAACATTCCTTATAATCCTGAGGGGGGGGTTTATCACATACAAATTGACTTTGCTTTTTTTCTGTGATGATGATAAAATATATAAAAATAACCATCTCCTGAAAACTCCATGGTAAATTGCTGGTAGAGCAGAGTTAACTTCAAGTTGAGTTAGTTATATTTTGTTCCCCACCCCCAGTCCTATACTTTGGACCAAAGCATGCTCTCTTCTTTGCACATACAAAAGTTAGGTACGAATGCCTCTTGGCATATGGCAAGGGAAAGGGTACCCTACTGATGAATTAAAGATTGATTCTATAATCTAGTCAACCACCTAAAAATATACTGGTTTTTTTGTTTAGATTTGGTGCTTTGACTAGGGATGGTGGCCTGCGGAACGTGGACTGTATCTAGCTTTCAGAGGACCGGAAGAGGACTTGTAAATTTTTTCAAAGGGAAAAAAGTACTGTTGGGACAGTTAAAGGCAGATAATAAATCTGTATCCAGGTTTTTTTCCTTCGACAACTGTAATATTAAAAAAAAAATGTAAATATGTATAAGATGTAAATATAAAAGAAATATATATCTTTTCTTGGTCACTTTTAGGATTGAATTTCTTCTGGCAGGGAATTGAACCCCTTGGAGGATTTCTGAGGAAATCCTAAAGGAAAAGGTGTTGTTGATGAAACTGACGTTTGTCTGCTTTGAATATTGCCTTTTTTTCAGAATGCAGTTTGGTCTTCTCTGCAAGAGGACTTGCAGAACTCCATAACACCCTTGTATAAAAGGTGTTTTGGATTTCGTTTAACAACCACTGTTATTTAGGAGTCTAGCTGAATGACTTTGATCATCACAGAACATGATGAATGTCTTAAATGAGATGTTTCTAAGTGAGTGTGAGAATAGGGACTAAAAGCACATAGGACAGAGTGGAAATTCATTTCTCTTTCCATCACATCTAAACTGTTAGTTCACTTCTACTTGAGAAAGAAAACTATTATTTTTTTAAGCTCTCTTCATATTTGGTGCCATGTTACGTGTAATCATTTGACTGCTCTGTATATGGAAGTTTTGCACTCCAGCATGTCTGACTGAATGTCAAAATTCCTTTTTTGGAGTACACCACTTTCAGAATTTCCCTGTAATCTTGGTGCTCACCACAAGAGAAGCGGGTTCTTAAAATAACTTTTTCAGGATATTGTTTGCAGGTATAATTTTAAAAAAAAATATAAAAAATTTATATGAGGAGAATTTGTGGGTAGTCAGACTGGATAGCATCATGCTTCAGTAGTAACTGAATGTTGGAAAAATAAGTTACTGGTCTAGATCTTGAAAAGGGACCATACCCACTGCTGAGTTATGACTGAGTTATCAAACTCAGATGAAAAATTTAGTAAGAGTCTGTATGTATTTTCCAGCATGAGTAGTTAGTACTTTCAGTACTGGGTTGGGTTGCAGAAATGCAGAATGAAATACTCTCCATGCAGTGCTACAGGCTGGGCACAGAGTAGCTGGAGAGTAGCCAGGCAGAAAAGAACCTGGGAGTTTGGATTAACAGGAAGCTGAACGTGAGCCAGCAGGGTGCCCAGGTGGCCAAGAAGGCCAATGGCATCCTGGCCTGGATCAGGAACAGTGTGTCCAGCAGGAGCAGGGAAGTGATCCTTCCCCTGTACTCAGCGCTGGTGAGGCCACACCTGGAGTACTGTGTCCAGTTCTGGGCCCCTCAGTTCAGGAAGGATATTGAGGTGCTGGAACAGGTCCAGACAGAGAAAAGCAATGAGGCTGGTGGAGGGACTTGAACACAAGCCCTATGAGGAGAGGCTGAGGGAGCTGGGTTTGTTTAGTTTGGAGGAGGCTCAGGGGTGACCTCATCACTCTCTACAACTCCCTGAGAGGAGGTTGTAGCCAGATGGGGGTCGGTCTCTTCTCCCAGGCAACCAGCAGTAGGACAAGAGGGCATGGTCTTAAGCTGTGCCAGGGGAGGTTTAGGTTGGACATTAGGAAGAAATCTTTACAAAGAAGGTAATCAGGCATTGGAATGGGCTGCCTAGGGAGGTGGTGGATTCTCTGTCCCTGGAGGTTTTTAACATGAGACTGGATGTGCCACTTTGTGCCATAGTCTAGTAACCGCTGTGGTATTGGATTGAGTTGGATTTGATGATCTCAGAGGTCTTTTCCAACCTGGTTGATTCTATGATTCTGTGATTCTGCTTCCAAATATGTAGGGGGGTAAAAAGAGAAGAGGAAAACAAGCAAAATCTCAGAAAGCATCCCTTTGTTTTGATGTTACAAGTGTACTTACTTGTTTCAGATGAAGAACATGCAAATACTGCAGGACTCATTCATTCCTTTTGGAAACCTGGCCATGAGTGCTCCCTGGTGTCCAATAGTACTTCTCTTTGGTACATTACATCTGTAAGAAGAGCTGGACCAAATATATTTAGAATTTTCTGTAATTAATGGTGAAACAGGTATAAACTAAACACATTGACCTGTGATAGCATTTGATATTTTTGTGATGCTTATTCCCTGCATATCTGTCCAGGTCAGAATACAAAACATTTCCATTTAATTTTTTTAAAATATTTTGGTAGAAACTTAACAAAATTTATAATTGAGCATTTCACTGTTAAAAGAAGAAGAAATTCACTGCCTTGATGTCCCAGACCTGCTTGCCAGTGTTCTTGGTGAGAATCAAATATTAAAAGGGAATTCGGACATTTTTATACCCATATGAGCAACTTCTTTCTTTGCAAGCTTTGTCTCCCAAAAAACCTAGCTATGCAAAAGGAGTGCAGCAGTTTGTTACTCATCTGTCCTTGGTTAGCCATGGCATTCTTAATTTTTTGTTCTAAAATACTGGAATCATGTGTAACTGGAATGTTTTAGTGCCTGCTTGTACTTTTGTTCATTCACATCCACAGTCTCACTGAATGTCAGTAAAACACATGAATAAATATTAAAAGAATTGGACTCTCTGTGGATAAATTGTATTTTTTCCAATATTATGTCTGTAATACTTTGTTATTTCGAAGTTCTTAATCCTGAAAGAAATCAAATGTTACTTGGAATATATAATTTTAACTTCTTTATACTGAAGCAGTGTGAAAAAGAAAGTTAATTGTAGTAACAGTATAATCTGTATATTGAAATATGTGCAGCATTCTTTTACACGGATGAAAACGTTTTGTTATATTTTATGTTCATGTTAAACATTGCTGGGTTTAGTGTTGCTGAATATATCAGCAATCTTAATCTTGTTAAAATTTCTTTTTCTAAAGCAATTTTAACTAAGCAGTAGCTAAGGAACTTGAAGTAATCAGTTCATAATTACTGATTACATTATTATGAAGCAAATAATTTTTCAAGTCAAAGCGTAGTGTACAGTATCATCAACTTTTTGCTCAAAGTGTCTTGATGCTATGAGTCATGCTACTGATTTGCCAAAAAAAGTAATGGAAAGTAATATATGGTTCTTCCTCCTGAAGCTGGTTTACTGGTTTGTGGGGGTTTAGCTCAATATATTAATTATCTGTTACTTGAACAAACCTGTCTTCATATGAACTGTGAAAATGCATGAGCAAATGATTTAATGGCATAAATACATCATCAACCACTTACTGTGCAGTGTGTTCTTCTGTCCTTCCATAATTTCACTTTCTGATAATTTCAGTATTGCCTGAAGAGTTTTATTTCCTTGTAAGCACAATACAAAGCCTGAAATCTGAAGTAGCAAATTGCAGCTCAGCTTGCATTATCCAGCTGTCCAGAAAATGTGTCCTGCACAACAGAATCACTGGCATAGGTGATATGGTAGAGCGACTAATCATTTTTATTTTAATTTTTTTTTAAACCACTTTGCTGATATATGTTCTGAACAATATTAGTTCTCTGTGACGGTGGCAAAAATCCTGATCTCTTCTCAGTGTGAAACAGTCCACTGGAGGAGCTCAATCAGTACCAATTTGGTTAATCACAGTAGAAATGGTAATTGTAGAATAGTTTTGGATCTAATACTATGGCAAGGATTGGAAAAGCTGAATGGGAAAGATTACTTTTTGTGGGATTTTTAAGCTTGAAGGCTAGAAGACGACTCAGCTGCAGTTGCATAAACTTATTTGAGTAAAACTAAAGCCAGAGCTCTTCCTAAGTAGTAGCATAGCCTGCTGTTACTGTGAAATCCCTTCCAGGGAGGGCACAGTAATGGGTCTGGGTAGCCGCAATTGGTCAGCTACACTTGTGCTGGCTTCTAGCTAGGGACCTAGCTAAAAAAGCTGTGGGATGGTTGCCCACCCCAGTCTGTGCAGAGGAAAACTTGGTTGCCTGTGACCAGCCTGATGATGAGCACTTTTAAACTTAAAAATTAACCTTTTTTAACACTTTCAAAGTTAAAGGAGATGCTGGCCACTTAAAGATAATTTAGGGGAGGAAAAAAAAGGATGTGTGGGGTCTCGAAAACTCACCTGCATGGGACTGGGAAAAAAATGAGATCTGTTGGCTGAAAGAAGGGAATATTGGAAGGGGAAAGCAAAAGTCTTTGGTAATCAATCTCAAGGCTGTTACTGAAGATCAACATTCACCATGTCTGCAGTGAAAGGATTATACATTATTAATATAAACTGTAGTGCCTGGAAAAAAAAAATCCAGTTTACAAGTTTGGAAAAATCCTTCTAGTAGTAAAGATAGGCCAAGTGCCAGAACAGATTGTCCTGGGAACCAAGCAATATCGTTTGAAGAGAGGTTACAGGAATAGGTTAACTGTTGGGAGCTCCTGTAGCCGGTTCTGTCAGTGGCAAGGCTGCCTCACAACCTAATTTTCTGTGCTCCTAACAGATTTTTTTGTTGTTGTTATTTGTTCCATTGATCACTAAAAAAAAAAAAAATGTGGTTAGAGGTAGTATCCCTCAGTGGCTTTTGCTGTTTTGGCACTGGTACCCGCTCACCCTGCAGTCGTTGTACCTGGACATCTTTTGGAGAACTTCGCTGCTTGTTGGCAGGTAAGGTCGGCAGCGGCAGGTTGAGCTGCTGGTGCACTGCAAACAGGGGCACGTTCAAAGTCGTGGTCTGCTCCTGGAAATGGACACAAGTGTTGAATGAGCGCTTTGACTAGCCAGGCTTCCACTGCCTCCCCACCCAGGTGTGGGTTATGCCACCGCTGTCGAGCCCTGGGAAACATTTCCCCCAGTAGCTGCTTTAAGGCATTGAGCCATATCATTTTAATAGGAATCTACTGAAGCGCATCACCAGTTCTTGCCAGCTCCCCGTGCCAGGGGATGCTTCAGCGTCCCCGAGTGCGTTTATGCCGAACGATGGGGGTTTGTTCCTCCCGGGCACGGGGCCGGCTGACCGGCGAGACGTTTCACGGCGAGAGGACTCGGGAAGCGACGCGGCGGCCGCCAGGTCGCGGGAGGACGCGGGCGCGGTGCCTCCTTCCCCTCCGCCGCCTCCCCGCTCCCCTCGCCCGCGGGTGTCGTGCGTGAGGCGGGGAGAGGCGGCGGCGGCGGGCAGCGCGCCCCGCTCCGCATGGACCGGCGGGAGAAGCCGCGGCGGGGCCGGGCGGTGCTGCCGCCGCCGGACGGGCCCGCCGGAGCCCCGGGCCCCGCGTTGTGCGGCCGCCGCCGCCCGGCCCCGCCGCGGCCCCGCCACGTCCGCACCATCTTCGAGGCGCCGCCGCCGCCGCAGCCCCCGCACCGGTTCGGGCCGGCGGCGGGGGGAGCGTGGTGCGACCTGTGCTGCCGCTTCGTCCTCTCGCAGGGCCTGCGCTGCGCGGGTGAGCGGCTCTGCCGGGGAGCGGGGCCGGGAGCGGCGGGGCCGGGAGAACTCGGGGTTCACCAAGCCGAAAGACGCGGGGCCAGGGCGGGCGTCTCCCGGTCCGCACCAGACAACGTGCTCCTCGCCCGGCCCGGCCCGGAGCCGGTGTTTCCCCACGTGAAGCGCTGGAGCACGAGGGGTGCCGAGCGGGAGCCGTATGGGATACGGGCCGGGGATACGGGCCGGCATGGGGGTGGATGCAGTGTGATCCAGGTAAAAGTGGTCTGTCCCCACCCCACAGGAAGGTAACGCGTGTTACAAGGTGTGAGTAGTGCTTGCTCCGGAGGGTTCGTGGGTGCTCCCACCTCTGGCAAAATCCATGCGGTCTGCTCCTTGTCCGTCAAGTAGGAGGAGGAGGCTGTGTCCTGTGGTGTCACACGTCCCATGTACACACCACATACATGTCCTTTCGCTCTCTGGGCTCTGCTCCATAGCAGAGAAAGGCTAGTTTTCCTTTGCTATGTAGAAAGCAACTTTTCTGTTTTCCAGCCCTTTCGTTACCACTGCTATGCTCTAAAATACAGGAATTTCATTCACCTGCTAGCTCCTGTCCTTTACAGTAGGAGAACATACATGATGTAGTGGTGGTGAAAAGTCCTCCTTTGCCATCCTTTGGGTTGAAAAAGGCTTTGGCCACCTTGTTGGGTTTCATGATGACCTCAGGAGTTATTCCAGCATGAAATCCCATTAGCATGCTCACTTCAGTGGCTATTCTTCACCCATGGCTGCAGCGCTGCTGCACTTTCTAGGACAATCTAGTGCTTTCCCTAGTGGAGTGACATGTTAAGGTGTGTGGTTTGTTTCGATTTATGTCACTCTTTGTTTAACAGCTGATATTTGAAACACGAGGTGGGAAAGAAAGGTCAATCTTTATTTTTTTCTGTCTTAAGGAGATGTAATAATGTCATACCGTCCTCCGCTGATATATAAAATTTCTGTTATGAGAGAGTGTTCTCACAGTGACATTCACTTTGAGCAGCTCTATTTTTACAGTTACTCTTGGAATGGAAATATTTTGGCTGTGAAAATAAAATATTTTTTATTTATCATTTGCATTAGTGCACTGTTTGTTCTGACAGGATGTGTAGTGCACTGATGTGAAAATAGACCTTAGAATTAATATTTTTTCTTTTATGATCAAATGCTCCATGACAAGGACTTCAAGTGTCACATTGGATTATGTATCTTCCAGCAACATTTTCTCAGAACGATTACAGTTTGCAATGCTTTTTCCTTCTCCTCCATGACAAACTCCATTTTTATGAGGCATAGTATTTCAAGCTGCTCTCTTAAATTGCTGTTTAAGTAGCAGAGCAAACATTCAACTTTTATGATCTGGCATGAATACAATATTTAGAGGCTGTAAAGTGCTATGGAGATGAAAGGAAACAACTAAAGCAACAAGGATTGCTGTGAGAACTTCTGTTCTTGCCCAGTGTGCAGGTACAACCAGCAAGCCAGACTGATGAACAGATCTGGCTGAAAAATTGGCTAAGGGCAACAAAAGAAGTGACTGAGTCAGGACAGCTCAGTGGCCAGGAGGAGCATGTGACCGGCTACCTTTCTGGCTCAGAGCTGCTAAATCCACCCTGTGGCCAAACATCAGTCTGCACCCATAGTCACCGACTCTTATGTAGGAGAGAAAGATGTCCCCTGCTTTGGGAAAGCAGGCAGACACTGCTGTGCTTAACATCCAAAGTGTGTCTAAACTGGCTTTGAGAGCTGATTGGGATACATCCAAGACTACAGCTGAATTTGTGGTAACCTCCATAAAAATGCCATTGTCTCCTTTGGGTATCCCTTGGGAAGCAGAGATTACAATGGAGGTTAAAATTGCAAATACCTTTCAAAGATTTTAATCTGCCTGGCAAAGTGTCATAGTGCTGGATGGTTCGCTGATAACTCTGTGTTTTCCAGAGGACACAAGTGGTAGGGAAGTTAATTTTATATCATTTAAAAAGCAACAGCTTCTTCCAGATGGCCCAGTGCTGATAAAAAGGGAGGAATGTACTGAATTGTCATGATTCTGAGGCACAGAGTATAACATTTATTTAAATTGCTCTCTCTGAGTGTTGACTGAAGTCAATTGTCACTAGACCATTGCCGTCAGACATAATCAGAGTCAAAGGTGGTGAATTTGGTGACAAGAATTAAAGGGCATGAGAAATTTCCTCTGGGATAGGGATGCAATCATTGAGCACACATCAAAGGAATAATTTTAAAGTATTTACATACAGATCTTTTTTTCTAAAATAAAAGATCTGTGACTTCATTATGAGAATGGTGTTTCCTTTGAGTGTCTCTGTCCTGCCTTCCCTACAGTGATAGGAAAAATTACTGAGCAGAGCTGCAGCGGAGGCTAGACTTCACTCTTACCAATTTCCAGTGCAGCTGTGGTCATCTTTGGGGTTTTGTACACTTCTTGGTACGCATCATAAAGTGAGGTGGGATCCCTGGAATGAATAAAGAACTACCAAGAAACGGTCTTTTTGCCTTTTAGGAGATTTTTGTTTGTAATTCACAAGTTTGTTTTCAGGCTTCTGCTAAAAATTGAAAAAAATACTTTAATTCAGGGAAGAGAGATCAGAACAGAAAAAAAAAAATCAAGGAGATGAATGATTGTCTGTTCCAATGCAGTGCACAAGGTGCACATTATTCAAGCAACTTATTTCTTGAAAAAAAATACGGCAGTGCTGGTATTTCTGGACTCCAACCCAGGAAGAAAGCCAAGTGTAATGAAATACCTCTGAAAAGGATGCTTTGTAGTATCTGACCTCTTGCTGTTGTTTTGGATTCTTTTTCAAGAGGGG